ATAGTAGGAGGACTGGAAGAGGGAAAGTCAATAGAGCCGTGAATGAAAAGTTCTTGGACTATTCTCATGACTTATGCACCTCACATAGAGGTGTGACAACCGCAAGACAACTCCACAGCCATCGTGACACCACGGCAGGAGCGTTCACGGAACTCATCCACATTCCTGAATTACCAAAACGCCAGACAACACTCATTCCATCAGCAAGTGATGCACTCAGCCGTTTACACAGAGGAAAGCAAAACTAAACCAAATATCGTGTAAGACTTCCAATAGTTCTCAGCTGGCTTCTCAGCTTTCCTCTCCCACTAGTGGTATCTTGAGGGACCAACGAGGGACAGGATCCCTGAAGAGACCAGCCAACACAAAGGTGTGAGTTGGAATGCAGTAGACAGAGTAACCCCAGACACGCACTGGTGAGGCCTGCTCTGCCACGTGGGCCGGGATGCTTCTGACAGCTGGCCTCGGGGTGCCAGGGCTGGCAGCAGACACGTATGCACACATGACTTTTATTTTTCACAACTGGGAAGTAGAGAATGAGTCCAAACAGAGGCTGAGCAAGTCAGAAAGGTTTGTCTCGTGGCCTGTTAAAACCAAGAAGCCCCTTCCAAGCAGGATAGTTGAAAACTCAAGATGGTTTTCCTTCCAGATCCCAGTCTGTCCAGAAATACTTTCTGGATCCAGTGGCTCACACTAGGCAAAATGGGAGATTTCCGATGCAGGGTTTTTTTTTTTTTTTTTAATACCAAGCCAGGTCAACAGATTCTTCAGAAAGAATCCTCATTACAACTGACCCATTAAAGCGCACCTGTCATTTTCTCCAAAACATTCCTATGTTTAGAGCTGCAAAGGAGGTTAGAACAATTTAGAACAAAGCTCTCAAGTTACTGAGGAGGAAATAGGTCCAGGGAAACTCAGACACTGGCCCAAGGTCACTGGGTGGGAGAAGGGCACAGGCTGCATTGGAACCCCAGATCTCCTGCTTTTTCCATTGCATCATGCAAGATTGCACAAAGCTGTTTTCCAGGAATTTGATAACACCCTCCTTTTCCTCTCTACCTAGCCCCAGACGTGAAGGCCCTTCCTGGAAGGCAATTCTGTGGGTAGTATTTATTTATGGGGCACTCTGATAAATCATTACCAGGGCTGTATTTTTTTACACATAGAAAAGCTACCTAAACAGTGGCACAAAATTAAGATTGTTAGACGCTCCGAATTTTCTAGATCAAAGGCTCTCCGAGAAAGTCCCAGTTGGCACCCCCAGAAGTAAGCGCCGCCTAGGAAGGTCGGCTGGTTCGAAAGGCTTCTTCCGGCACAAAGGCATGGAGACAGCACGGCCTGAGCAGCAGTTCTGTCCTATTATTTGAAGGGACCAATCCGAACACCTTTTGCATCCCTGGGTAGTAACATCCCTTGCCTAATTTTGGTTATGAGAGGTGTCCAGGCATCAGACAGTGTTTCCTGCCTCCCTGGGGTCTTGGTCGTGGAAGGCTTGGATGTCCAGGGCTGGCAAGCCAAAGCCCTATAGCCCGCCTTTTGACTCGTCTGTAAAGGTCCTCTCGGCCTACGAGGCCCCTGTTTCCCGGGTGTTTATCAAACTGCAGGTGTGCACAAGAAAATTTTAGGAGCCAAGGGTTTTTTGTTTGTTTGTTTGTTTGTTTGTTTGTTTTGGCTAGAAGGACTTCCCAGCCAGCGCTTGGCCTCTTGGCACCTGCGCTGCCACCGTCCTCTCCCTGGTGCAAGCACGTGCTGCTAGCAGACGCAGGGGCAGGGAGAGGAAGGAACGTGGCATCATAGTAAACCCTAGTAGAGACCAGAGGCAAACAAAATGGGGCGCGTCACATGGCCGCGGCCTGGATTTTTCTCAATTAGAAAGCAGAAGTGAGCGTTTCCGGCCTCCGTCAGCAGAGCTGGTTGGGATTTGGTCATTCTTGGGATTCTGCTCCGGAGGCACGAACGGGGCTCCAGTGCACAACATCCTGTCGGGGGGCCGGGCGCGGGGAGGCCTTGGCTCGGGAGGCACCGGGCGCTGCGCCCACCCCGGCCCGCCCACTCCCCGCGCCCATTGGCTCCGGCCGAGGCCAGTCACGGCCCCTCGGCCCCCCGAAAGCTCCGGGGCGGCCGGGCCGGGGGGCTCCCGGGAGGGAGGAATGCAGGAAACGGAGGTGACCCGGAGAAGGAGAACGCGCCAGGGCCGAGAGGGTCTGCGCCAGCTCGGAAAGGCCACAGGGCGAGGGGAAGGGGTAGGTGGTCGTGCACGTCTGGAATGCCCGAGACCGGAGAAGGGAGGCCGGCTCGGGAGCAAGAGACAGGGCCAGATGCCTCTTGTTTTGAAGAGGGGCGGGCATCACAAAAAGAAGGAAAAAAAAAAAAAAAAAAAAGGATGGCTCGGGTCTGTCTTCCAGAGCCTGCTGGATCTATCCCCGCTAGCTGCAGTTTCAAAATTAGAAAGGCAGATTTTGAGATAAATGCTGGTTTACACTAAGCCTGACAGGCCCCCCTTTTCCCTTCCTCCTAAGACTCTCAGCAGCTTACTCCCTTTCAGAGGGTGGACCGTGAGGACTCTGCTGGGGAAACCTTAAAAGAGGGCGGGGGAGCAGCCAGTGCCCGGAAGGAGGGGGAACGAGGTGGAAAACAAAGGGACCAGTGGGGAGCAATCTGGCGCTCAGAGCCAAGTTGGAGGAGACACGCGGAGGCTGGCGGGCAGGAGAGAACCAGAGCAGGCCGGCGGGCAGAGTGCGCACCCCAAGAAGAGGAGAGGCCGGCAGAAGATGGACTCCTCCCGGCGCCCCTTCGGGGTCTGCACGAGGCAAACAGCAATTTGCTAAGGAAGTGAGGGAAATGGTGCTTTTGCAAAGTCACAGTCCTAGCAGAAGCTGCCTGCCAGTGACAGTGGGACCTCTTTCTGTGCCACGTGACAAGCAATCAAAAAACATCTTTACACTCTTCAGGGCAAAGGCCAGCAGGCAGAAGAACTTAAAACACACCCACTGTTTTACAAATACACCTTGTGTTTTTCTGGCACGCAGCCGTCAACGCATGGTCCATTGCTACTCCAGGATTATTAGGAATGTGGTTGTAAGATCACTCCAAAATGTCACATTTCCCCTAAGAAACTGGAAGGCCTGCGATGAGGGCCCAGGGGAAGGTCTGGTTTGGTTTTTGATGTCTTCTCTACATGAGGAAGTGTTTAGTTCAAACCCTTTTACTAGGACAATTCTATGTGGCCATTGGTTTTCTTCACAGCCAACGTGATTCATTCTACACTATAGAAGAAACCTGCGCGGTGTTTAAAAACAGGGAAGAAATGCTTGTTAGTTGCTTCAGTCATCAGACCTTTAATTATGTTAGGTTTGGTTCCTTCAGAGTCTCACAACTTTATAACAAGCACTTTACAATGCAAACGGTTAGTGTCACAAGGATCCCAATCACCAAACATATCATGGACAGTAACGCAAAGCTTTCCTGCTGACATTCACACAAGCAGTGACCTCTCGTGAATGATGAAAGCAAATGTTGACATACTGTTCAAACAGATGCATTTTATAACATAACGACCTAAAAAGCTTAGTATGTGTCCCTTATTCTACAAAGAAAAAGGTAGATGTATTATACCGTTTTATAAATAGAAATCAAGCAGACCATGACCAGATAAACAACAAATGCCTATTGAGAGGAACCCAAGGCACAACTTCATTTCTTATGAATGGACACATAGTAAGAAGAATAAATGCTTTCATAAGCTCATTCTGCAAAGTATATACAAAATTCACAACGAAATCAGTTTGTCAGAATAAAGTATTTCCAAATGCTGGAATCTTCTAGAATGCCAACTCATCACATTATTTGCAAATTGTTCTCGTCTCTTCTTCCCACAGTTAGGAAGACAGGCTCAACGCAAGGAATGACAGGCTAACGTCCTGTGAGGAGTGTTTTTTTTTGTTTTTGAAAGAAGCCTGAGCCGCAGGAGACCTAAAAGCCAACTCTGACCCTTCACTGTGACATCAGCACCGGAACTTCAAGGAATGCAAGGGAAAAGGACAAGGGTTAGCTCCTGCATCTGATTCAAAACAACCCGATCTCCGACCCCTGACGGCACGTGCTTTCTCTTCAACACAAACATGACCATGGAATTGTACAGTAGTACCCAAAGGCACAGCGTCTCAGTGCGAGAGAGGGCGGTAAGGGACATGCTGAGGTGAACTTCTGTAACTCTTAACTCATGATGGGTCCCAGGTGCGTGCATGCACCCACATGAGAGCGGCCGTGGCAGTGAGATGGTGGACCCACGCGTGAACATGGCTGTAGGAGTCCTGCTCCAGGGACAAAAAGAATGCGTCACCCGAAGTTTACCATGAGAAGGACATAAGTCTTTCTCCCCAAACATGCAAGTTCACAAAGTTCTGATTCCTGAGTAGGGCAAAGTGAATTAAAATGTGATGCTTCCTACTGCCGTTTGGACTGCCTGGGTGTTGTGAAACCACAGACCAAAAGCACGCTGAGCCAAGTCGATAAGATCAGCCCCAAGAGCACCGGGGACTCTCTTCAATCTTAGCCCTTACATGAACACATGATTTGTACCACTGCTCCTTGGAGAAGCTGACCCAAACACACAGTCAAAAGCAAATCTCACCCAGGAAGACATGAAAGGTTTTCATATGGATGTCACCAACCTCAGAAGTGGTATTCTAGAACCCTAAGTGTTTAAAACACTACTGGAAGTACTGCCCTTGGGAACTGGCGGCTGGAAAAGCCCTCCTGTGGCTGTTTAGACACATTTGGCTCACTGTGTGCCAGGTGTCACTTGGAGGCGAGCATCTGTGTGCCCTGGTTATCCCTCCCCCGACTCACCCCTCCCTAAAGGGCTTCCCCACCCCCCCAAGGAAACAGTGGGAAGAAACAGCCAAGGGCAGAAGCCAAGAAGAAAATGCAGGTGCAAGAGTCAAAGCCGCTCTGTCTTCTGACTCTGACACCCTGAAACGCACCTGCTATGATGTCCAGTTGAGCTACTGGCGGTCCTCTGGCTGCTTCTGGAAACTGATGCTGGCATAGGTGCTTAAATCCTCACTGGGGCGGCTGGTGGAGCAGTTCTCGCTGCTGCCCGGGCGCTGGTGAGGATGAGGGGGCGCGGGCGGAGGAGGCTGCGGCTGAGGGGGACGCTGCTGAGGCCGCTGCTTGACGTCCTTGACCAAATCCAGGTCTATGTAGTTCAGACCATTCTCCAAGGCCCCTGTGGGCCCACACACTTGGCCTGTCTCCTTGGGGGCTCCCACGAGCTCCCCAGGCCTCAGCCACACATTCTCAAAGGAAGCAGAGCTGTGGCGTTTCACCTCCTCGCTGCCGCTGCCACCACCACTGCCCCCTCCTGCGGCACCCCCTCCGAAGGACACAGTGTTGCCCGCCCTGGTGGCACTAGGTGTAGAGGAGAAGGTCTCGGAGCTGTGCCTCCTCCGGCACCCCTGTGGGTCTGCACGGATCACTTTGGCACTCTGGTTGCGGCTGGGACTGAGGGTTACCCGGGTGAAGGCACTCACGCCCCCAGCTCCTTGAGGCGCCCCCAGCAGGGAAGAGCGGGTCACCACTTCGGCGGCTCCTTGAGGTGCAGTGGGAGAAGAGGCAGCCGAGGCTGGGGAAGGAGCAGCCCCAGGGGCCGGGGGCAGGCTGGCCTCCTGGGCAGCAATGCCTGTCCGCATGTCAGCGTAGCAGACAGGGGCGGCTGGGGAGGTATCCACATAGCTCTGGCGGGAACAGCCCATCTGCATGGTCATATAGTCCCCTCGGCTGCTGGGCACTGCCCGGGTTGGCCTGCACACGCTAGCAGCCCCAGGAGGGGCAGGGCCCACTCTGCCTGTCTCAGCCCCGGCACTCTCCTGCCAAGTGGCCCTCCGGCCAGGCCCCAGATCCATGTTCATGTACTCCTCATTGGCTGTCTCCTCCTGTCTGGGGGCTGGCTGGAACTGCGGAGGGCACCTGATAGAGGGAGAGCTGTGGGGAGCCACAGGCCCTGACAAGTAACCAGGCTGATCACTCCCAAATTCAATATTCACATATTCCCCTGGGCTCTTGGGCTCCGAAGGGTGCAGCAGTGGCTGCTGCTGCTTCTGCTGCTGCTGCTGCGGCTGCTGCTCTCGGACCCGAGGCAAGGTGCTGGCCTTGGGATCCCCCAGGGACAGCCTCGTGGGCCGAGCCAGGCGACTGTTGGTCTGAGCAGCTGTGTCCACCTTTCGGGGCAGGTGGGGCTGCAAGACATGATGGTGGGGATGTGGGAGGCCAGACTGCGGCCTGGCTCCACAGTAGCCACCTCCCAGGCTGTCACTGCTGGTGGAGGATGAAGAATCTTCAGCGGTTGCAGCATAGAGAAGGCGACCAGAGCTGGAGGAAAGGCGGAGATGCTGGGGCCGGGCACTTTCCTCCAGCTCCCCTGGACGCTGGGTGTGCTTAAAGGACCTTGGCAATGAATAGTAGGAGAGGGCTGGCTTGTGCTGGGGGTCCTCGGGGCCGTAGTAGCAGTCGGAGGGGCTGCTGGTGTTGGAGTCACCCACTGGCGACATGTTCATGTATTCACCTGTGCAAGGTAAGAGCTTGCCACCACTGCTCTCCACGGCGGGTTTAGGGGAAGGCAGAGCATGGGGGTGGTGGCCCGCCACCCCATTGGTCCACAGCTTGCCATAGCTGCTCCCAGAAGCAGGAGCACTGGTGTTGCCGGTTCCACCGCCACCACTGCTGCTGCTGCTGCTGCTGGGCCCACCTGCAACATCCGGGGAGCAGCTGCCACTGGGGGACATCATCATGTAACCATTCGGGTCCACTCGCTGGGGATGGCGTCTGATGGCATTGATGATCTGCTGAGGGGCAGACACGCTCTTGGGGCTCATGGGCATGTAGTCTCCGCTGCCCTTGCGGCTGCCCGGCACCGGGGCCACACCAGGGGACATGGGCATGTAGCCATCATCAGTGTCCTGCCGGTGGGGGGGCCCGCGGCGCTCCAGGGGGTGCATTTCCAGACCCTCCTCCGGGTAGGAGTGGGTGGGCACGAAGGCGGAGTGCCGGCAGCCGGGTAGCCGGCCTCCACTGCCACCTCCTGGTGGGTAGGCTGGCATCATCTCCGTGTACTCCTCAATGGAGGCCACCGAGGACTGCGACGGGGTCTTCTGGTGAGAAATGGTAGGGGAGGTGCCCGCCGAGTGGGTTCTCTTCCGGAAGCGATTATCCAGGTCCGCAGCCCCGGCTGTCTCATCCACAGCCAAGGCGGGGCTGGTACCCAGGCCCGTCCCGGGGATGTAGCGGTGGCCATTGCCTCCCCTAGGCAAAATATAGTGGCCATTGGGGGCGGCCAGGGTGGAGGCCCCTTTGCCGCCCATGCAAATGTAGTTGCTGAGCTCCTCCTCGCTGCGGGCCGGTGGGGTGTGGCCCAAGGAATCCGGAGTGACACTGCGGAAAGAACTTCGGAAGTCGCAAGGGCTGGAGCCATACTCGTCCGAGGAGATGAAGCCGCCATCGCTGGGTGAACCGGACACGGAGGCACTCGACCGCCGCGGAAAGAGGCAGTCCGAGGTGGAGCCATGGCCACTGGTACTGCTGGACGACAGGCTGACCGGACTGGTGGCCGAAGGCGAGCAGCGAGAAGAAGGCATGGGTATGGAGCGGCTGTGGTTGAGCGGTGGGTGCAGCCGAGAGCTGCCCCGGTGCCGGTGGGCGTGGGTCCTGTTGGTGCTGGGGCTCACGGGGCTGCCGTCCACCGAGGCCGGGCGTGACATAGTGCCCTCCCCGTCGCTGGAGGCGCGGACCCGGAAGGAGCCTGGTTTGCCGCCCACCATGCTGGCCGGGGAGGTGGCGGTGATGCTCTCGGTGCGTGAGCGGCGCGTCAGCCCCACCTGGCTGGGCGGGGGGTTGTTGAGGTGGTGACGGCGCAGGGGCACGCTGATGGGGTTGGAACAGTTGGACGAGGACTGGCTCTTGCTGCGAGGGCGGAACTCGTCGCTCATGGCCCTCATGGCCTCCAGAATGGTCTCGTGCATGTTCTGGGCCACCACGGAGTCATCCACCTGCATCCAGAACTCGCCTGGCCCAGTCACGGCGGAGCGGCCCACCTCGATGAAGAAGAAGTTCTCGGAGTGGCCGCAACGTCGGATGTTCATGAGCTGGAGCACCACAGCGGCGGCCTCCGAGTTCAGCTTCACGAAGCTGATGGTCTTGCTGGTCAGGCACAGGCGGTAGATGCCGATCAGATTCTTTGTCTGACCCAGACCCTTGGGTTTCAGGATCACTTGCCAGACCTCCTTGAAGGCCGGGGGCATGTCTCCGTAGCTCAGGTCCTCCCCAGCCTCGCCCACGCCAGAGCTGCCGCTGCAACTGCCCCCGGCACCTCCCGCCCCAGAGCCGGAGGCCCCATCGTGGTGGGCCTTGGCACGGCTGTGCAGCTGCAGGAGGGCCTGGTACCAGCTGTCCTGCTCGGCCTCGCTGTCGGCCGCAATGGCAAAGTGCTCGTCCCGGGTGTAGAGAGCCACCAGGTGCTTGTTTTTGGAGTCAGCCCGCTTGTTGATGTTGAAACAGCTCTCCAGGGGGATCGAGCGTTTGGGGGCGCTCGACTTGTGCCGCCACTTCTTTTCGTTCTCGTAGTACTCGAGGCGCGCGGGGCCCCCCGCCTCGCTGGCCGCCCGCAGCACGAAGAAGCGCTTGTGCATGCTCTTGGGTTTGCGCAGGTAGCCCACCTTGCGCACGTCCGAAAAGCCTTCGGTCTCCGTAGGGCTCGCCATGCTGCCGCCGCCACCGCTGCCGCCGCGGAGGAGAGGCAGGCGCGGAAAAACAACTGGGTGGGGGGCGGAGGCTCCTCGCCGCGGCCCCGCACAAGCAAACAGGGCTGGAGGCGCAAAAACCCCCGACTCCGAAATCCACGTCGTCCCCCGCGCCGGGGAGGGGAGGCCAGAGAAGGACGCAGTGGCTGCGCCAAGGAGATAGCCCGACCCGAGTTCACAGGCGTTTCATGCCCAGGGGTGAGGCAGTGAGTCCGGGGTAGGGGTAGCCCTGATCCTCCGAGATCCGAGTGGTCCACTCGGCCCAGCAGCAGCCAAGATGCATCGCTCGCTGGCCGGGCTGAAGTCGGGCGCAGCGAGGCAGCCGCGGCCAGGGGGTCCCTGCCTTGCCCCTGCAGGCGCGCGCGCGCCTTCCCTCCCGAGTTCCCCTCTGGAAGTAGCGATTCCCGAGGCAAATTAAATATCCTTGGGCAGGGGGAGGCGGGCTGCCAAGTCCCAACGTTGCACAGGGTTCTCCCTCCTCCTTCGCCTCCTCCTCCTCCTCCTCCTCCCACCGCTACCCCCCTCCTCCCCAACCGTCCCCGCCGCCACCAGCCGCCCAAATACCAGCTCAGGCGCAGAGACCGCGGCGCTGCGGCTGTTGCTGCTGCTGCCGCTGCCGCCGCCCGCGGACGCGTCCTCTGCAGCCCGCACTCGAGCCCATCCCGGCGGGCGGAGAAAGTGGTTTTTCCACGCCAAGCGCTACCCCGCAGCCGGGGGAGCCGAGGATGGTCCGGAGGGCCGGGCTCATCCCTGCCCCTCGCTCCAGTCTGCAGGGGAGGCTGGGAGGGGACTGGGGCGGGCGGCGAGGCGGGGAGATTTGGGAAGGATTCGGGGGGGCGGGGGGAGCCGCCTGTGCCCTGCGAGGCGCTGTCGCCGCAGTTCTCCCCTCCTCCCTCCTTCCTCCTCCCTCCTCCTCCTCCTCCTCCTCCTCCGAGAGTTGCCGAGAGCCCCAACCAAAACAAGCGGCAGCGTCTGGCTCTGCGCTCCGGCCCCCTCCGACCGCGCCGCCGTCTCCCTCGGAGGAGAAAAAACACGTGACGGAGCCTCCGCGCCCGGCAGCCCGGCCCCGCCGCCGCCACCGCCGGGAGGCTCCCGCCCGGGTCTCTACATTCCGGGCCGAGCCCGCCCCGCGCCCGCCCCTCCCCGCCCCCGGGGCCGTGCCGCAGCGGCGCCCGCGCCCGGCCTCCGCGCTGCGCCCCGCCAGCGCCCGCCAGCGCCCCGCCAGCGCCCCTGCGCGGCCGGCCGCCCCGCCGCTGCGCTCCCCGCCCGCGCGCCGCCCAGGGCGCCCCCGGGCCGCAGGAATCCCCGCGGCGGGCGCGGGCGGGGGGTGTTTGGGTGGCTCCCCGGCCGCGCGCGCGAGGGGAGTCTGGGAAAACGGGAGGGGGGCGAGCTCGGGAAGACGCAGGAGTGAGGGTGGGGGACGGCGGGAGGGGGGGACACTGCGGCTCCCGAGCCCCGCGTGGGAGGGCCGGGGAGGAGGGGGCGCAGGGGCTGGGCTGGATCTTACCTAACAGGTAAGATCGACCCCTTGGGTGGGAGTGGGGGGCGCGCCGGGGGTTGGGAAGGGGAGGGGGTCCTTCGCAAAGCTTTTTCCACACGGGGAATAGAAAGAGCTGGATTTCCATTTCGGGGTGATAGGCCATGGTGATAACATGTGAATTTCTCTAACGTGAGCTGGGGGACTTTGCGGCCAGCCTCCCACCTTGGAATCCCCGGATTGGCTGCTAGGAGGTACCTCGAAAGGACAGAGGGACACCCAATGACAACGAGTAGAGAATTACGGTCACTCCGAAGGGCGAAGGGGTTCCCGGGAAGCACTGCGCCTTCCACTGCGGATCAATTAGGGACAGAAACGTCCGTGCCAGTGTCCCCTGGCCCAGGGGCGGGGAAGGGGGGGGGCATGGTCACACCTGGGGCGAGGAATTGGAGAGGGCGACTGCGGGACTGGGGGGATGCCCTTATACTCTGCAGTTCACTGTGATTAAAAAAAAAATTATTAGGGGCCTTTAGAAGGCTTTCAAGACCAAAACACTGCGGTGCCCTATTGGCTGAAAGGTTTCACACAGTCTTCCACACCCGCTGAACCAACCACCCCATGTGTTTTTCACCTTGACCACAAGAACAATCGGTAGAAAACGAGGATGGTGTCAGTTCAAGTGTACAGGAAAATGGGTAGCTCGGGAGAAAGTAGAGAGCCCTCACTTGGTTAGTGACGGTGCTTGCTTTCCCATAAAGATGACGCTCCCCGAAGTTGGGGGAGGGGGGCGTGTTCCAATCGGACCCACAAGATAGCATTTTGTCCCTCTTTGCCCAGACCTATGAAGATGACGCTTGGCTCTGTTTAATGCCTGCTTGTTTTCCCCCTCTCTTCCTGGCATGTTTGGCGTCCTGCCTCCGTGCTATGCCTGGGACGCTCTGCAGCTTCCAGGTCTCCGGCGCTGCAAGGTGAGCGCAGAAAAACTCAGGGCTCCACCAGCGCGGTGTGCTCAATGGCAGGGACCCGCTGGGCACCGGGGAGGCGCGTCTGGTCCTAATGCGGGAGTGAGAGGCGGGGCGAGTTTCCTGGGGCAATCTGCGGATTGGCGGGGATCCCTGTCTCTCCAGCGGTGGCGGCGAGAGAGGGTGAGGGTACCAAGGTAGGTTGTGAGGCGTAGTTTAAAAAATAAGAAGAAAAAGAACCGCAGGAGCCATTCGGCCGCGTGCGTTCCGTGAATTGGGGGATCTCGCCTCTGCAGAGAAGCTACCCCCAGCCGAAGCCCTGCGCACCTCTACTCTCTCACCTTCGCCTTTCCTGCAGTGGCGCAGCCTCTTCTGCCCTGGTTCATCTATAATTCGAGGACACATGTTGAGCGGAGAGTCCTCCCTTCCTTGCGTCTGACAGCTTGGTGATGTGGGCATACGTGCCCACTACAGCAGAGCTATAAATAGCAGATATTTGGGGAGGGTAAGGAGGCTGCAGTAACAGGCGGAAATCCTGGACCTATCAGGTGTCTCTAGGGGCAGTGAAGGGGACCCCGCAGTTGGTGGGCAAGTGAGAGAGCGGTTCATCCTAGGCCAGAAAATGAAAGATAGCCAGAGGGGTGTTTTTGCAGATTTTGTGCATGAGTTGGGAGGGGGGTGGGAAGAGTCCCACATTTTGTAGGGAAACGGTTCGAATCCACAGGCTTTTCCAAAGGACCACCTTCCTTATTCCCCAGAAGGCCGGACGGATGAACAGCACGTTCAGACAAACAAGCTACTCTTTCCTTTAAGGAAAGGGAAAGAGGCACTGGAAAATCCGTTGAATTTGAAAATATTTTGCAATAATCTTCACAGAAACGTTATGATTTTGATCTATAAAGCTAATTGTTATTGCAACGGCCCTTAAAAAATCTCTCTCTCGGAGGCAAAAGATTTCTGCTTCAAAAACATAACTTAGAAGGCTAAAATATTCTGTAGAAATCATGGATTAAACCGAACTGCTGTTCATCCGTAGACAAATTGTACCTGGGTTTCCTTTGAAAGAACAGTCACTGCTGTTCGGATGCTCCTGCCAGCTTTTGCTTCTGACTGGCATTTTTCTACCAATGTTCTAACTGTAGTGAATACTTATTCAGTTACAGTAAGCCCTCGACTTGTTCTGCTATTGAGTTAACTAGAAATGCAAATTCACGTTTGCTTCATACACAAAATGAAAAAAAAGAGACTTTCCTGGAATCTAGCTGAGAAAAAGCTAATCAGGTGCAGGTATTATCCTGTCATCTTATGCCAAATTAGCTCGTGCTGTATTGTAATAAAATACACAGAACCAAAAAACTCCTCCCTGGCTGAAAATTCACAAGACAGAAAAGCAGCCGACCTCCGAAATATGCTGCTGACTGCTGCCACCTATCGGACGGTTAGAGATTATTTATTCAATACCCACAAGTGCTTTTTTTTTTTTTTTTTTTCCCCCAAGGAATGAAATGGTTTATCAAAACGTTGAGAACGACTGTGTGGCTATCACAGGTAAAGTCATGATTTGAGGCGTTAACGCTCTCCCTTCTAGGCATTCACTTCTGTGCAAGACGTCTGCAATTGTCTTCAAAATGGAAATGTGTGGTGATTTTAGTGAAATCACACAAAATTTAAAAGACAGGACTGGAGACAGAACTGACCCAGCAATTGCAACCACAAGCATAAGCGTAGGCCGATTGGGGCAACGGTCTGTATCGGATCCTCAGACAAAGTCTCTTTGGGGTTCTCCCTGCCAACTAAACTGTTGGACTCGGAACCCCAACCACGATGAGAACTACAGGTTCCATGGTCCGACGGTGGAGTGCGCGTGTCAGTGCTGGGCCTCCTCAGTTACTTAGAGCAGTGGCCAGCATATCCAGGTGCACATGGAAGATCTGGCAGTCCATCGGAAGCTGCAGAGGACACCCTGACAGAGGATAGAACAAACTGATCAACCACGCCAGCCAAGTGTGGGCAGTGCACAACTGGGCAAACGGAGACTCTAAGGTGGACTGTGACAGCGGTGGATTCTGGAGAGATTTCATCATGCTTAGAATAGCGAGATTGGCAGCAATTCAGAACTGCTGAACTATCAAAACCAATTGAGCAATGCCCTCAGAGCATGCCCAACATCTGGGACCCTGGGGTGGTTGGGATGCTGGGTGTGGCTTCTGCCTTTGTCTCCCCACTTCTGCCAGATACAGGAAGGAAAAAAGAGAATGTGGAAGTCATGGTCTTACCCGCTTTCCTGTAGCCCAAGACCCTTTGGTGCCCTAATCAACTATGTAAAGATCATTAAAATAAAATAATAACAATGTAACAATATTTTTCATGTTTTCCAAAAATATAGTACACTGAATTACCACAGAAATGAAATAATTCATTAAAAAATGGTACAATTTGGGATACGTGAGCACAAGTTTGAATAGACACCTATGGCCAAGCTCTCTAGTACCTTCTTGGAACCTGCAGCTTCTCTTTCTGCT